AGGGACATGATCTTAGACATGAAAGATGAACTCAGGAAGGAGTTTGAGGAATATGTTGATCGTCCAGTTGATGATGATGGCGAGTTTTCCTGGGAAGAGGATGCCAATATCAATAGGTCCATGGATGGCTATCTTGGTAATGCAGCTACGTAGACCGGACGCCACATGATCAGTCTTCCGAACAGCCATTCGATAGTCTCGCTACTGAGTTCTCTATAACCGGGAAAACAGGTCCATTGATGACAAGCTAGCTTCAACTGTCAATGAACTAATCGAAGGAAAACTTCCCAAAGAAAAATTAGAGGAGCTTCTTGGTAAATATTGCAAATATAAGAATTGCGACCATCTAGTGCCACCAAAGATCAACAAAGCCGTATGGTGTCAACTCAAGTCCTCAACCAGGTCAGCTGATAACTCTCTACAGAAGGCAGAGAAATTCTTCATTTCATCTGTATATGCCATTATAGAAGCTTGCAAAAAGTCTTCTGACAATGTTCGAAGCACGCTTGTTCACACCGTGGTTCTCGCACTATCTGGAAACCGAGAGCTCAACATGAGACGACGGAAGCTGCTCAAGCCAGACTTGAATGCTCAATACTCCGCSTTGTGCAACCCTACCACCGGCAATTACTTCTGAGTTGTTTGGGGATGATGTTGGTAAGGAGATTGATGATTTTTCCAAAGCCAACAAGCTGGGGAAGAAATTGTCTACTCCTAACAAGGGACGCCGTAGTGGTTTTCATCCATACGGTGGCAACCGCTATAGCTCTGGAAGAAATTGGACAAGGAGGAGTAACTCTAGCAGATTCCCAGACCGTGGGCAGCCGTTTTTAGGCACGACGCCCCCCTTCAGGCAGAGGCAATCCTCAAGCCAGTCTGCGCCAAGAAGGGACAATCAGAAATAAACCCAAATCAGGTCAGTTACATGAATGTTATTGAACATCTATTGGAAACCCACGCTAGTGTTTACTAGCCATCATCTACATATTGGAAACCCAGGAACCTTTCAGGGGGGTCAACTTGGTAACTACATTGAACAGTGGAAACAAATCACTTCAGATCCAATATTGTTGGAATACGTGAGTAACTGCACCATTAAATTTGATTTTGAACCTTCGTCCAGGTTTAATAGAAGTAAGGTAATGGAAAGGTTTTGAGAACCAGAACAGTTAGCTATTTACAGGGAAATTGAAACCTTTTTGTTGCAAGAGATTATTGAGCAGTCCACCTCGGAGGAAGGAGAAATTATCTCCCATTTTCCTGCGGCCCAAAAAAGAACCCGGATCCTTTCGGGTCATATTCAACTTGAAATTATTGAATGAGGCTGTTACGTATCACAAATTTAAAATGGATACATTAGAGTCAGCCATTAAGCTCATGAAACCTGGCTGCTTTATGACTTATCTATCGATTTACGGAATGCCTACTACTCTATTCAAATAGCCTCAACACTCAGGAAATATTTAAAATTCATTTGGAGAAACGTACTTTTCCAATTCCGAGCTTTACCCATGGGACTGTCCAGTAGTCCTCGAATTTTCACGAAAGTTCTGAAACCAGTCTTCTCCACATTAAGAGCTAAGTATGGCCACTCCTGTGTTCAGGCTAAATTGATGACTCATTTTACACAGAAGACACTGTCGATCTTTGTCAAGAGGCAACCCTACATGCAGTTCAGTTGTTTACAGATTGGGGGTTGTTGTTCACCCTACCAAATCCTCTTTCCTACCTTGTCAAAAGTTGGAATTTTTCGGGTTTATTCTAGACTCATTGTCCATTACGGTTGCCATGCCGAACACTAAAGTCATGAAACTATTATCTACGTGCCAAAAACATATCCACCTAGAACAGTGTAGTATCCATGACGTAGAATCCCTAATAGGAACATTGATTTCTACCTTCCCTGGAAATGAATTAGGACCCCTTTACTATAGACTATTGGAAAAAGAGAAAGTGGCAGCCCTGAAGAACTGGGAAGGAGACTATGATGCCTTGATAGGGTTGTCCCAAGGAGTAAAAAGTGTTAGTGCTAGATTGGACTTTTGCGCGTTTATCCGTGTGCATTTTTTCGCCTTTGTTTTCAGACTTTAAATATGTGCATAATTTAGACTAAGTTAAGTTCATTCAAGCTCAGTAATTTTTCAGTTCAACGTCGACCGTCTTAAGTTACACATCGTTTTGTAAGTATTCTTTCCTATTTCTTTTGCTTTCCGTTTGCTTCAATCGTTTTCTGTCTTATCGGTAAATTGTAATCTGTCCTTTATTATTTAGGAACTCTCTAACGCAAGTAAATAAAACGAAATGAAGAGTAAAACGGGTGTATTTTTGACCGCTATACGGCACCAATAAAAAGGAACTAGAGTGGTGGATATCTACCCTGCCCTATGCGCGCCGGCAAATTGACTATGGACCACCCGATATCATTTTGTCCAAACATCACCAAACTCAAGGCCTGTGGTCTCCCGAAGAGAGATGCCTTCATATCAATGTCCCTGAACTGTACGTTAGCTATCCAATTTGGTTTAAGAGCTTTGCTCAACTAAGAACACGGCCAACACATCCGGATCATGTCCGAAAACACTACTGCAGTAATTCACATTAATTCCACGGGGGAAATCAAGTCAGCGCAATACAAAAGCGTTACGCCTGCCATTTGGTCGTGGGCCATTGAGCGACATCTGTGGTTATCATTAGCTCACACTCCAGGGGTTGACAATGAACTATAGCAGACCATTTGTTTAGACAATTCAACAGTGATGTAGAATGGCTACTTAGCCCACCCATTTTTGATCACTTGACCAGAAGATTTGGCCTCCCAGACATTGATCTATTTGCTATTCTCACTGCATAATTAATGAAGTCATCGCTAAAGGTTATGTAACCCCCAGATTCCGACGAGATCATGCTTATAATCTATAGCCATGATCCTTTGCGTCTCTGTCATATAAATATACGCTCCCGATCTAGAGCGTGGTCACTTCAACAGATCAGACTCCGTGGAAGGATACATTTTTGGACCCACCCACCTCCCCTGGTGGCGGTGACATACCACGCCACTTGTACCTTCATTACACATTTATTACCTCAGTTGTCGCGGATTTTTCTCCCATAACTCAACCATCTGCGATGAGGTAATGAGTATGCAGTGAAGATATAGAACTAGCAAACTCAATCACCAAGTGAGTGTTTACGAAGCTTGGAAACCAGGCACCAGTGCGAGGATTTGACTGAGTTGACGCTCAATAATGAAAACACGGTAGACTACGAATAAAGCAAAATATCCTATCCAGAGTAGCTCATAAACAATTTTTGTACTTATTTTCCTCATAAGTACGAAAGCCGAGAGAGGTACGAAACCTCGTAGCATAAGTATTACGGAATGTTTTGTTTTGCTGTCCTCGGAGTGATTTAGCAGGGCACATATGAATAAGCGAAGAACGGGTTCGTCAGAATAGACCAGTTTCGAATTCCAAATTACCGCTGTGTTTCTTGATTACAAACTCATTTGCACAGGGTTAGCCTCGAGTTTGTGCAGAATATTCACGTGTTCAATTCAAGGTCCGTCGAGTTTCAAAGTGTTTGTATTGTTGAA